TTTTTTTTTTTGTGGGGGGGTTGGGGGGTGGGGGCAGGAGTATGGTATTTGGTACAGGAAGAGAGCGCCTGCAATATGTAATTCACTCTATAACTGAAAACATCCAGAGCATATTCGAGAAGAAGGTGAAATGACAACAGTGGAGATCTCTGCATCCAGCAACGACTATGGACTAGGCTAACTATTAACTTCCAGCTTGAGCAAAATCAACTTCCATCTGATTCAAACCCAATACAGTTGCCTAAACAGTATATTTACAATAGAATATCAGCCAGAAGTTGCTTAGGTGATATGATCTGCCATGGATTTTGGTGTGTGATTACACCTGTCTTCCAGTTTGAAGTGGTAAAGAGGAAAGGCTGGCCACTCTTAAGTAAAGAGATGCATGGGTGGTTATTAAACACCAAGCTGCACACCATCCAAACACCCAGAAATTCATCCATTAAGTTTACTATTAACAGAGCATGTACATGAAAAATAAAGGTAGCAGAAAGAAAATCGCTGGTGTATAAAGTATGCTATTATGGATTTTATGGCTGGCGTCAGAATTGCATACACCAACTAGAGGTATGTAGTTCCAAATAACCCTTATTTCACTTTATCATGATCCATGGATATTGATCTTAAAGTACTGGGCAGCTAGGTTTAATTGTTTCTTTTGTACGAGTAATTTCCATGGAGCAAAAGTAACATGAAAGCTTAAACAACAAAGATAACTGCCAGTTTTTCTCAAGATATATCTGCAGGCATAAAATAATTCAAGAGTACCAACAGCATTTTTTGAAGTGCATTATTCTGTCGGGGGGTGGGGGATGATACTTATGTTGTCTAATAAGAATTATCATGGAAGAGAATAAGTTTTTAAGCAATCAACAGAAACTAAGAAGAAAGACACAGCAGCAACAAGATCTAAAAAACCTCGAAGCGTGATATCATGTTGGCAACGTCTGCAATCTTATATGCTTGTACTTCTGCTCGGTATTGAAGCATTTAGAACTTTCAGAGAAGCCTTTGGATAAGACTTGCTTCAACGCATGTATTCCTTCAACTAATGCAGCATCAATCTGCAAGTAAAAATGTATGATCTTTAACAATTAAAAGTGGTTTAAGAGCTACAAACAAATACCTTGGAATTCCTTAATTGATGTCAATTCTCAACAAGATTAGTTTTATCAAGTAAAGATCTCTCCAATCCCAATGTGGCTTTTTTTTTTCTTTTAAACCCCTCCCAAATTAGGAGGATCTATAGTGTTTCCACACTTCCCCTCCAACGTGACTCGAACCCAGGACCTAACGGTCGTAGGTGGAGGTGTTTTTACCAACTGAGCAAGCCTCACTTGTCTGAAGCTTCAATATCTGAAGCATGGGCACTTCTAAAATGATACAGTATTCTTGCTTGATGTTCCATCTGAGAGGATCATGCACTTGACTCTAGGGAACATGTCTATGATAAATTTTCTGGGTCCAAATGTTTTTCATTGGTTGAACTCTAAAAAACATGCCATCTGCATGTTTTTGACGTGTTTCAACATGTCTCATGAAATTTTCTTTTTGCAACATGAGTTGATAAGAGGAAGATGAAAGTTATCCAAACTGATAAAAGTTAATACAAATGGAAGAAGATTGAAC